TGTACAGTAGAATGGTGGCCTGGAAACTACCACACACATGTACAGTAGAATGGTGGCCTGGAAACTACCACACACATGTTCCCACACACTGTGCAGTAGAATGGTGGCCTGGAAACTACCATACACATGTACAGTGGAATGGTGGCCTGGAAACTACCATACACATATACAGTAGAATGGTGGCCTGGAAACTACCATACACATGTACCTACACACTGTACAGGAGAATGGTGTCTTCAAAACTACCATACATATGTACCTACACACTGTTCAGTAGAATGGTGGCCTGGAAATTACCATACACATGTACAGTAGAATGGTGGCCTGGAAACTACCACACACTTGTACCCACACACTGTACAGTAGAATGGTGGGCTAGAAACTCCCACACACATGTACCCACACACTGTGCTGTAGAATGGTGGCCTGGAAACTACCACACACATGTACCCACACACTGTACAGTAGAATGGTGGCCTGGAAACTACCACACACTTGTACCCACACACTGTACAGTAGAATGGTGGCCTGGAAACTACCACACACATGTACCCACACACTGTGCTGTAGAATGGTGGCCTGGAAACTACCACACACATGTACCCACACACTGTACAGTAGAATGGTGGCCTGGAAACTACCACACACATGTACAGTAGAATGGTTGCCTGGAAACTACCATACACATGTACCTACACACTGTACAGTAAAATGGTGGCCTGAAAACTACCATACACATGTACAATAGAATGGTGGCCTGGAAAATGCCACACAGATATACTCACACATTGTTCAGTTAAGTGGTGGCTAGAGACCATCAGTGTTCTGTCTGGTGAGCATCAGTTAGGCCCATTTGACAGTGAAACTCCCTGAAAACTGTGTGCATTTGTGTTTTTTGTTTGTACCCAGGTTAATAAATTGATCTATGGAGTCATTTTGTACTTTTTTTTTGCAGTGGGAAAAACTGTAACACATGCTGTTGTCTTGGCACAGTTATACACCAGAGGAAAATGTTATGGACTACATCCATTTATTGTTCAATTACGGAGTCTGGAAAATCATGAACCGCTACCAGGTATGCACACCGCTTTGCTATGAGTTTTAAGAAAATCATGAACCGCTACCAGGTATGCACACTGCTACCAGGTATGCACACCGCTACCAGGTATGCACACCGCTACCAGGTATGCACACCGCTTTGCTATGAGTTTTAAGAAAATCATGAACCGCTACCAGGTATGCACACTGCTACCAGGTATGCACACCGCTACCAGGTATGCACACCACTTTGCTATGAGTTTTAAGAAAATCATGAACCGCTACCAGGTATGCACACCGCTACCAGGTATGCACACCGCTACCAGGTATGTACACCGCCGCTACCAGGTATGCACACCGCTACCAGGTATGCACACCGCTACCAGGTATGCACACCGCTACCAGGTATGCACACCGCTACCAGGTATGTACACCGCTACCAGGTCTGCACACCGCTACCAGGTCTGCACACCGCTACCAGGTTGCACACCGCTACCAGGTATGCACACCGCTACCAGGTATGCACACCGCTACCAGGTATGCACACCGCTACCAGGTATGCACACCGCTACCAGGTATGCACACCGCTTTGCTATGAGTTTTAAGAAAATCAGACGCAATATTCCTGACAGCTTTAAAGATTTAAATGTTTTGATAATTTATAATAATAAAAATATGAACTTCATGTCAGAACATTATGAAAAAAAAAATGATATAAAATACTTAAAAGGCCAAATAAAAAGATAGCAGTTATTGAAGTTTTTGTGTTTTTCTAATACTATATGTTGAATATTTAGTTACTTGTTTAAAAAATTGTAAGTTTTCTCATATATACTCATACAATATGCATTGTATACCAATTAATATTCATTTATGTTGGTCTTGTAACCTACATGTACCTACCTCCATGGCAGAGTATATATATATATATATTTACTACCTTATACTAAAATATATTTAGATAATTAGAGTACTAACTTCCAAGTTTGCGTAAAAAAGGTGAGTTTCGCGATTTCGACATCGAAAATGCCTTTGCTTTATTATTTGCTGAGGGACGGTCGCTTAAGTATGTGCTCTGTAACTTGCAGCACATGAACCTAAAAACGTTAGGTAATCAAACAAAAATGACGTTATACTAAAGTCAAAAAAGTATGTTCAAGGTCTGCATTTACATAAAAACTCATGACTCGAAAAAGTCTTTTTTGTTGACGTGTTCATTTGCCTTCAATTGCATTTAAGTGGCTGTCACAGTCGTATTCTGAGTCTTGCCGATAACATTTTGGTTCAAATTCAGGTAGATATTGCCGAGAAAACTCAAATTTTCAACTAAAGCTAATTTGCAAAACAATGTTTTTGCCCTTGGTCACCATATTGGACACCGCAAACAACTAGGGAAATTCACTCGCATTATCGCCGTGATAGGCAAAAATGTATTTGCACATAAGTACTTTCAAGATCTGCACTTTTTCATAGCATAAACATGGTTTTTACCCTCGATTACTAAAATCAAAATATAATTGACGTATCTATCGTCGCAGTAAGTAGTTTCGACCTTTTTCGCTCAAAAGGCAAAGGCGATAAGACTAGATTCTCAAGGACGCTGGTCACTTGGATCGGACGATTTCATTTGTTTCCAATTTATTGTACGCCTAGAAAAATGGCAACGTTGTTTTTGGTGAATATATAACATGTTCTGTTCCAATAAAGGATTTTGATATGCATAACAATTCCTTACTGAAACATTTCTTGTATTCTCTAAAATTTGACAATGCCACTAGCCCAAGATGGACTTCCTGTTCAACACGTTGTTGAATGTTCACGTCACTGTACGTAAAAATACACTCTCGAACTTGACAATTTTAAAGTTCAGACCATTAAGCAAATAGATGGAAATACCAGTTGCATAAATCATGAAGATTGATGATTTGATTGCTGACCAAGATAGTTGCATTTAGTGTTCTTTTCTATGCAATATAAAATCATATCGATACTGTGGGCGGCGAAGGGTGACAGATTGTTTTGATTCACAAGGCACGGGCAACTGACATTTCCTGACTTTTTATTTACTATTCTGACGTGTTCTGGGCTGTATATAACAGTCAGACAATGACAAGTACGTAAGTACTAGTAAACAGTCCGGACCATAATCAATACAAGCCGGTAGGCTGGTTGACAATCCGCTCCCCTGAAAAAACAAGCAAATGGTTTTCGGCTGTTTCCATGGTAGGACATGAACGTGAAGCTAACGTCAGTTTATAACTAAATGGGCCCTGAATACGAAGTTCACAAAGTTCTTTAGAAGTCACTTAGTTTATTACTAGGACGTATTCTGCTGTTACATTTATTATTTCCAACCGTTCAAAGTTGCGTTGGGATTACATGATACAGTAATACAAATATGATTATACACAATTTAGTGCATAGTGTACAATGTATATCATTAGATTTGTAAAATGTTATTCATATTGTAGGTATAACACTTGGTGATATTGGACCAAAGCTTGGTTATCAGAGCAATGATAATGGTTTCCTGGGATTTGATCATGTCAGAATTCCAAGAAGGGGTATGCTGATGAAACACTCTCAGGTAAATTGTTTGATTTGAGATTCCACCAAAATACAGACATTTACTGACATGATTGTAGGTGCGAAGAGAGACTTCATCTTGTTAGTCTGTATAAATATGCATATATATTGTTTCCACTCAATCTTATTCAAATATAATCTTTGGCTTCTCTTCACTACAGCACTGATTCAGCTTTGCATAAACGAAAGGCAGCTTTGCTACAATGTAGCATCACATTCACTTCTGCATAACTTAGTATGAGTAAATTATTTAATGATTGGCTTCAAAACTGAGCTTAATTGTGTAAACAACAACAATTTTAGTACAGTATTCATTTCACATTTTCATCAACATACTGCTTGAATTTGACCTGAGAATTTCCTGTTTATTTGAATTTCATTTCGGAATTTCCGGTTTATTTGAATCCGACTTGGGAATTTCGGGTTTATTTGAATTTGACTTGAGAATTTCCGGTTTATTTGAATTTGACTTGAGAATTTCCAGTTTATTTGAATTCGACTTGGGAATTTCCGATTTATTTGAATTTGACTTGGAAATTTCCAGTTTATTTGAATTTGACTTGGGAATTTCCGGTTTATTTGAATTTGACCTGGGAATTTCCGGTTTATTTGAATTTGACTTGAGAATTTCCAGTTTATTTGAATTTGACTTGGGAATTTCCCGGGTTTATTTGAATTTGACTTGGGAACTTCCAGTTTTTTTGAATTCGACTTGGGAATTTCCGGTTTATTTGAATTTGACTCTGGAATTTCCGGTTTATTTGAATTTGGCTTGGTAATTTCTGGTTTATTTGAATTTGACTTGGGAATTTCCGGGTTTATTTGAATTTGACTTGGGAATTTCCCGGGTTTATTTGAATTTGACTTGGGAATTTACATTTTATTTGAATTCAAATTCGGTTTATTTCTGACCATGCAAGCCTGCGTGTATTGCTCATGTCCACATTGAATCATATTTATGTCTTTTTTAAATTTGGTGGCAATTAAAAAAGAGTCTAAATCTAAAATTCCAGCATATCCTGTTTGTAGATGTTACAATATGCAGACAATATGACCCTTTGACCTTGATTTAGCAATATTCTGACTTGATTTTTACCTAGTCTGGAACGGAATATTTGATTTCCAGCAATACTATTTGAATATAAAGGAAATATAATAGTATGACTGCCTTGCTTGCTAAGTAAATTAACATGATATGGGGATTTCTTTTCAGCAAATAATAACTTTGTCATTAATTGGTACAATGTGCTTGATCACTACAACTTGCGTATGTCATGACTTTCAGATTTGATTTTTGGAAAAGTTATTCCAGATTGAAAGTGCGACTTCAATAAACTTTTGCTAACAATAAATTTTAGAAAAGCCAAACATTTAACAATATGCTCATCAAGCTCTGTCACTAGTATTCCAAAATTCATGTCATTCCTTGCTCTCTTCTTCACATCTATTAACACCGCATAGGTCTTATCTGATGGCACTTATAAGAAGGCACCGATAGCAAGACTTAACTATGGTACAATGGTGTTTATACGGGTCATGTTAGTAGAACAAGCAACACTGTATTTAGCAATGGCTACCACAATAGCTGTCAGATATAGTTCTATAAGACGACAAACAGAACAGACCCCTGGGTAAGTGATCAAGTCCCAATTATATGTTGTATTTCTGTATTTATCTTCTTTATTAGGTTTCACCTGATGGATCGTATACTAAGCCATTACAACAAAAACTTGCATATGGTACTATGGTATTTGTCAGGGTTAATTTAGTGATGCTTTCTAGTTATTATCTTTCACAAGCTGTCACCATTGCTGTAAGATACAGCGCCGTAAGAAGACAAACTGAACAGATACCTGGGTAATGTTATAGCGCTACAGTGCACTTCGTACCATTTTTCTAATAGACCACCTGATTTCTGTTAAAAATGTTTCTCTAGGAATTCACCTTACAGAAAATTACCATATTCAGATGCTGCCATTATCCACCATGATGACAAGAAATATTAAAACTAGTTATATATATCTTTTAGATTTTACACTTGTTTCTGTTTTAGAATACCGGTATGCCGAAAATGTTGTGACAATTTATTCAAAGATGAGGAACACTTCCTATTGATTTGATTTGAAATATGATACTGGAAGAATAATATTCTTTAATAAAATTAAAATTTCATCAAAGATTAAAGTCAGTAAAAATGACATATTTACTTTCAAGTAGAGATACAAATATTATTTTAAATTTAGCTAAATATATATGAACAACAGTGAGGTTCTTGAACTAATATTATTCATGTATTTATATACAATCTATCACTTTTCATAAAATAAAACATATTGCTATAAATAACCCAATGCAAAATTATTTACAAGGAGTCACCACTGACTAAACAAATATTCTTAATTTATATTCTAACAATTCAGTCAGCTTCAAAAATATTTATTTGTTGATGGATAAAAAGAATAAATAAACAATGATATCTACATGTTTTGATGTCACATAAGATCCATGTTGTGGTGTTGTGCAGTGCAGTGTAATTACAAAATGTATTAACTTAGATTCAGTTTCCAGTCACTGTTTCTCACGTATATGGTTTCTGTTTCCGTTCTGTTTATACTGCTCTCAATGGTATTTTTTATATTGCCCGCAACGGTATTTTAATACTGCCCCCAACGGTATGGGTTATACTGCCCTCAACGGTATGTGTATTATATACTGGGACACAGACTAGAGACACTTGGCAGTGGTGGGTTGTACCACAGTCAGCTGGCGCACACGTGATACCCCGGCTTAGTGTTCTAGGTTCTTCGCGTAATTAGGTGTTCGTATGCAAGGCATTTTTCCACACAAAAACGACGAATTAGGCCGAATTTTGTTATCAGTTGACCTAATATAACCCCAACGGACCGTATTTTTGTGAAAGATTGGTATTTTTGTCCTGATTTGTAGGAATCTGAAAAACGCGTTTCACAACTTGTCTCTTATTTAGTTGTATGCGTCATTCAAGATGGCGGCCCCATATAGTAAATATCGTATCTATTTTATTATGACGTGTGCGCCAGCTGACTGTGGGTTGTACCAACCCATACTCTGACTGGTAATCAATAGAATTTTGTTTCTCTGTTGTGTATCCCTAGCCAATTATGGTCATTTCAATTATCTCATTGATCAAACAACTTTCTCATATTGTTTAGTGGTTCATCTTTTCAGACTTGCAGTGTCTTGTTTGATTTTTCATGTTATTTCCAAAAAGATAAAATATAATGTGAGGACGTAAATGGTGTAAGTCTGGTTAACGTGGCAACAGCACGCTGGGTGCATTAAATTTGCAAAAGGCTGAGACAAAGTAGTGCAGCGATAAGAGACTGGAATCGAGTCTAGTACTAACTCTATTAGAAGTCAATATCAACCTCACTCAAATTTTTATACTGCGTTTTTTCAAGCCTTATCCTCAAAATGATTAAATATACAATTGTTGTACAGTTTTTGTAAACCACTGGGAAATATTACAAAATATCGAACAAGCAATTATGGCTCCCTGTGTTTCTTAATAGTGGCTGTAATAATTCTCACAACTATCAACTTGTTGATGACAGTTACGTATGTCATGAACATACAATTTTACAACTCTGCTCTCTTTAATTTGGGATAGACATTTTCACCGGCAGAAGAAAGAAATCATTACGAACATGTTAAAACCGGCTGATCGCATTATTTTGTAATTATTTGCAGTGGAAAAGAACCCCAGATTTTAGACTATCGTTCTCAACAGTTGAAGCTGTTTCCATATTTGGCTGCAGCATATGCATTTACCTTCACTGGATGGAGTACTAGGTATCGGTATATGGAAGTCCAAATGGAAATGAATGATGGCAATATGGAAGCGCTTCCTGAGGTAATAGTTTTCTTTATAATCAAAATTATTACATATATAAAGATCATCACAACATTTTAACCAATTATTAGCATTCAATCTGCGTTCAGCATGCAACATCACGCAGTTGTAGCACGCAGCCTTGTGATGACCGCTGTCAACAAAAGTCATCCTGTCAGCACAGCATGATTGCCAATGCACAGATCTATGGAGGAACTTCAACATAAACTGTGTATCACAGTCGTCCAGTTTAAGTTCTGGTTCTGTCGTAGCCCCAACTAAATGTCCACAAGTTATTTATTTTTTCGGAAAGTGACTCAGATTAGACGTCTGAATATTTTATTCTCATAGACAGTGACACGCGTTCTACACTGACACACGTTCTACACTGACACACGTTCTACACTGACATGCGTTGCTAGGGCGCAATACTATCTTGAAACATATTAAAGGGCAATGGGGTTCCTTGACCTAAATTCCATCTCGGTTTGTTGCATGTTCTTTCTTTATCATGAAATAATAAAATATGGAACACATGTAATAATAACAGAACCCCACACCCTCCCCGTGGCTTTCGTTTCACTTGTGATGCTGTATGCTGTTGTATGCTCGCTTGGTTGGTGAAAGTACAGCTGCAGGATACAATTAAAAACCAGCAAATAATTGATGCGTTAACATTACTAGTCACAACTCTTGGTCAATGCTGTCAATACTACACAGAATGAACTGTATAATCTGTAACATTGATTGAGATATTGCAGTTATATGCATATTGATGAGGTCACAAAACCATATATGGTCATTTTATATGTTTGCAATATTTCTTGTTGGATGCCTACATTGTCCAACAGTGCATGAAAGGCAAACCCTCAGTAAAGTCTCGCCAGTCTAAACCTTTAATAATAATACAATGTAACATATGTTAATGACATTGTTCATTTTGAACAGAATCTACTTGACTACTAATCTACAGGCTAAAACAAAGCAATGTTGAAAAAGAGTATTCATGAATACAAAATATATACAGTGGTCCCTCGTTAAGTCACGGTTGTCGGGATACACAAAAAAAATAGGACTTATCAAGAGTCGCGACATACTAAGGGGTCCACATAGATTCAACTCATTGCAGTGAGTTTTATAGAGATTTATCAAAAGAAACTGGTCGTGAAGTACGTAAACTCACAACTTCATACCCGGTTGACACCTCGAGTCAGGCCATCAGCACCCTTTGTATCTCAGTAATTGACGGTCAATAGGTGTTAAGTTGTCTCCTCCTGCCCTTTAACGACAAATTAAATACATGATGTGATGAAACATTAGTTCTTTTACTTCAAAACTGCTGGCAAAACACGATACAATTTTTGGGAGCTATCCAACTATTTGTGACTTAGCTGAAACTACGACTTAGTGAGGGGTCACTGTAATTTGAGCTGAATCACATCACACAGGCTTACATGCAGAAAGTTGTCTCTCCAGTAACCTACAGTTCTATTTGGTTTTCTAGTTACATGCTCTTTCAGCTGGTTTGAAAGCTTTCACATCATATGTTGCGAATGAAGGAATTGAAGTTTGTCGCTTGTCATGTGGTGGACATGGGTATTCACAAGCAAGTGGATTCCCTGAGCTGTACGGCTTAGCAACACCACTAGTTACATACGAAGGAGAGAATACAGTTATGTTGCTGCAAACTGCTCGGTAAAGGTTTGCGAGTTGTATGAGAATTCTGCAAAGTATGTACTGGGGAAGTGCGGCGATTGTACACATGGAGGTGTAATGAAAAATCCTTTTTACCCATACTGCCTTGGTGCATACTTTTGCGGTATTCTCATAATAACTTTAACATTATACATATATATATTAATATTATCTTATCCCTGCTTAATAGTAATAATTTAATAGTAATAATTTAATAGTAATAATTTAATGAGAGATACTGCACTCTTCTATTTCCGTCATGCTTTTTACAGATTGGCAAACTTTCGATGCTAGAAATATATTACATTTATAGTTCACTGCTACAATTTGATTTAAAGCATGTTAGAGATTTGAACGTTGTACTGTATTTGTAATATACTATAAAATACTTTATTTTAGGTGGAATAAATTTTTGCTGTAAAAAAACATTTTGGTTTTTTTGTATGGAATTTAAATTTCAAAGTATTTGATATGTGAAATTTAGGAAAATTAATGATTTTCATTGAATTTTATTTTCACTTATTCATCTCTTCAGTGAAAATACCGAAAATAAAGTAAAACCAACACATACTGAATCCTTACTATAAGTAAAGTAATCCAACATGTACATATCGAACCAATGCTAGTTCATTTACGTCATTATTTGACTGATGTTTATTTCCAGATACTTAATGAAATGTGCTGCTACTGCAAAACGTGGTGGCGGGCTTCCAGGATTTGTTTTGTATCTGAACCAACGTCAGAAAGGTCAATGCCCTGCTAGAAGTGAAAGTGACTTATTGGATCATGGCTTACTGTCTGATGCCTTTGAACACAGAGCTCGCAGGTACATGTAATATACTGTAAAGTGACTCATTTTCACTGGGTTTAAATTTCACTGATTTAGCATTTCAGGCATATTCAGTGGGTTTTAAATTCACGGTTTTATCATTTAGATAATGTGTTCTATGCTAAATTTTACATATTCACTGGGTTTTAATTTAGCACATTTTCCAGTCAGCGAAATAAGCAAAATTAAAACCCAGTGAATAATTAACCCCTATAGAAAATTCAGTAATGATAATAAACTCCAAAATAATTCCATTAATAATGGTAAAGTTTCTTTAATTTTCATTCACTAGGTCGTTAATTCATTCACTCATTTGTGCCTAATTCATTCATTCATTCATTCAGTACATACAAATACAATGAAAGTGTCATGTTGTGATGAATCCAGAATCACTCTCACAAAAAACAACAGTATGAAATTCTGTCAGTGGTTTTCGAATTTGTTTCAGCTTCAAAATTTCATTTTCTAGTTTGACACCTTTAAGATAATATTCATTCTAATATTCATGAATAAGTAAGTTGTAGTAGATTTCAAGAATGATTGAATAATGACTTGTATCTTACAGAACAGTAATGGATGCTGCACAGCAGATAGATTCTGAGGTTGCTAAGGGCAACCCACAACATGTAGCATGGAACAATTGCCATATTTATCTATTGAAAGCTGCAAGTGTAAGTATATAAAGCTGACATCCAAATAACGCATATGTTGATAAAACAATGAAGTCACTGTATATCATTATCACTTTATATTATCACATGACCAATTTAAAGTGTGAAAATTGCAGAAAAATTGTGATTTTACAGAACTATGTTTAAGAATGATATGGTAATTTATGCTAATTGTGCATGTGTCAAAGCTTGTCAGTGGATGGACATTTGCAGATACGGCTAACAATGATTTTTAAAATTAACAGAATTTGGACCCTCGGATTTTCAAAATAAGTCGTTAATATTATGAGTTATTGTAATTTCATCATATCAGTAAATGTTGTTATCCACTCTGAAGTTGTTCTATCAATGCAATACTGTCAGATGATTTGGTTTTCTCAGGGTACTGTTAAAGCGATTGGACATTTGAAGGACTCATCATAACTCTCTCTCTATTGTTTGTCTAGGCACACTGTCATTTTTATGTGGTGCAGACGTTTGTGAAATATATAAACGATACTGAGATGTCGGATGCTGTACGCGATGTTTTGACGTCACTGTGTCAGTTTTATGCCTTGCATGGTATTTGGCAAAATGCTGGTGATTTCTTGCAGGTGAGTGAAGATCAATACACCAAAGGAAATGCAGGCATGTAGAATTGAAAGTTGGTATGGACATGTGACTCCATGTAATTTTAAATTGATTGCTTATTTTATACTGAAATGTAATACATTATACATATTTACTAGAGCATGGTATACAAAACATAAAATGTTGTATTAAAGTTACACAACTTTCACATGTTCAATCCCCCTTGCCATGAAAGTGGAGTCTCCCAAATGCCCAGCGAAACGTGTAGCCTAAACATTAACAATTCAGCAAAACTCCAAAGGTGCAGTGTTTGATCTGTTCAATTTTTTTTTCTAAACAAATAAGTTACTTGTACATTTTGTAATCGATCTGAACCCTTTTTTTGAGCATTCTAACTTGCAAATCTGCATACCTGCATTTCTGTTGCTGTACTTACTACGGTAATATCGTACATTATGTTGATGTGTTCGTGTATAATAATTTATCATAATCATAAATATTAATAGTGTTGCTGGTGAGAGTGGCTGGATGTAGCAATAAGGTAATGTCCTTGCTGGTGTTATCACTGTGGTAAGCTCACAGTGTGTGGTCTATATACCATTGGCAGATTGGTTCAGTAATTGTAACTACCGTTACATTGTACAGTCCAAGTCTAAGGTAAACGTTGGTGAAAACTAGTCCTCCAGAACACTAATATAACATAAAGGACATGGATGACTGAAACAGAATTGGGATGGGAACATCTTGTCAACAAAAACAAAAACCTAAGCAAGACTATCCTATCTCGCACATACATGACACAATAATTTCCATATTTGAATAATGAATTCAAATAGACAAGGTTTGCTTACATTGAACAATAGTACCCATGCAAGTAAATAACTTTGTAAATGTATTGAAGCATCTTGGGAGTTCTTAATTGTGTGTCAGCAAAGTTCTGTCTATAGACAAATAATATAAAATTGTACATACAAAAAAATACTTAATACAAATAATTAATTATCTCAGATTTGTCAAATAAAATTATTATACATTGCTACAGAAAGAAATGTTGAGTAGGATTATTCATGCTAAGTTAGGTAGTCATATGTGTACTGTATTGAAGCATCTAGGGAGTTCTTAATTGTGTGTCAATGCAGTTCTTAAAACACAATAGACATACCTTACCACATGACAAGTCTCTAGTGTACTCACTCACTCACTCACTGGTTCCATACATCACAGTAAAGACACTATAATAATAAACCAGTAATAAATCATGAACACGCATAGATGGAGTATACTGTAAAAACTTTTAAAACAGGTTTTTAGAATACAAAATAACGATAAATTTTTGGCCAGTTGAGTTTTTAGAGTGAAAAATCAACAAATATAAAAGTTGGGTTATATACAGGTGCAGAAATAGAATAGTTATAGAAAGTCATGTCTTTAAACAAATTTTTTGAGTAAAAATAAGTGAGCAATTTCTGGCAAGGTCAAAATTTAGGAAATCAATAATTTACAAAAAACGCCAAATAATTAGGTGGTTGAATTTTTAGAGTTTTCACGCTAATGAGCTGAGAACTCTGCAAATTTGTTCTCTATGCGTAACATCACTCTAGGCTAACCTATAATAAACTCAAATTCACTAAATTGTGCTCTGTGTATATGCTTGACAAACGCCTCACACAAAGTGTGCTTTCATTCATTATGGGTTGGCCAAGCATCCATTATGGTTCAAAATAGTGATATCATGGGCAAGGCTGCTATAGTTACGCTATGTTTAATGTTGATATTATAGGATGGTTATATGAATGGCAAGCAGCTGGACATGGTGCAATCTCTTGTGGGGAAACTCTTAGACAAAATCCGTATCAATGCTGTAGCTTTAGTTGATGCCTTCGATTTCCGTGATGAGCTATTGTGCTCTAAGCTTGGTAAATATGATGGTAATGTCTATGAAGCTATGTACGAA